AACCCAAATGGACCATCTGATCTATTTCTTTTGTCAGATTTACGCTAATCTAAAGAATTCAAGAATACCACGGTTTAAGTCCACCGAAACACTGGGAACCATCTGTTCGGATTGTGACTGTGCCTTTAAACGAATCACGCCTTCAACATCAGTGGATGCCATGGGCGTCATAACATCTGAATTGTGAAGCTGGTCAGAGGGAAAAAAGCAACAATCGTTCTAGTACAATAACATAAGCACACGACCAATGAGTTATAATAATAATGTGCTTATAAAATTCACACATTCATAGCTGTATCATGTGGAAAGAAACCCAGGTAAAATATAGACTTGTGCTGGACACATTTCTCAAATTACGTATAATCTATAATGAAAACGTACTACAATAACGGGGACACAAATCATTTACCCTAAAAATGAGCTTTATTATATTGCAGATAGAGTTGATCGTTCTTCAGTTTTATGCAAATCAGGCGGTCTTAATAGTTCTTTCAAGTGCAATTAGTGTTAAATTAATGTTAAATTAGTGCAATTAGTGTTTCGTTTACAATGACAAAATAACGTTTAAAGTTTGTGAAGAAAATGCAGGCCATTTACAAATATTCCTGGTGAATATTTGAATCTTCAACGTATCGATGAATTAATCTCGATCGTGTGTTGACGCTATTCAATACGAAGGGCGTCACAGTTTGTGTACAGTTACGTCGAGGAACAAAAAAAATCCGCTCGCTATTCGCGAAGCCCGATATAAAATTACAGAAAAAACGTGAATCGAATACATATAAAGTCTTTCAGTTCGTTAAATAGTATGGGAATTTATTTAGTATATATTTTGTCAAAATTGTAAATATTTAAACAATTTAAGTTTCTAACTAACTTGTAATTTTCTAACTTGTATTTTTCAGTTTGTAGTTATTCTTCTTTTTTCATCATTAGCATCATTTCTTGATGCCTATATATATTCGTGCGTATTTTAGATTTTTCATGTGATTTCATATTTTTTTGGAAACCGGAAGATCTCGGGCACCAAATAGTTCGCGTTTAAAGTGTTGACCATTTTAACGTACAGTGTATTTGCGTTCGATGGATGCCCAGTTATCTGGTAATTAATGTATTTTTTATTGTGGGAAAACAGAAGTGCAGAACTCCAATTTCTATGTAGTCTGGCTAACCATTTGCGGGTTTTGGGTTTGCGATAAAATTGTTGATTGCCTTCTACGCGGTTTAATACAAGTCTTAACTAATTGTACACTAATACCTACATTTTATGAAAAAAGAAAGTTTATTACTGTAAAGACCATTTTGATAGTATAAAATATATTATCGAATGTGTGTGTGTGTGTGGGTGGGTGTGTGTGTGTGTATATTTATTACCCCCCCCCCTTTCCCGGTCTTGAGTCGGTAGTTATTTTACGTAGTGAAGTCGTAAATCGGGTGTTGTCCTCGCTACTGAGTGATACGTGTCAAGATTCAAGAATTATTGGATGAGAATTGTGTTGATCTTGCCCACTGCTTTAAATTAAAGCAGTCAGTGTAAAAGTAAGCAGGTTACGCCCTCGCAACAGCTTTTGTCCCGCGTTGTTGCCCATACTTAGTGTGCCAAGAGACAGATTTGAGACTACCTAAACCGGCTTCATGTTTTGTCCATTTTGTTTTTTTAGTTTTGAGAGATTCCACAATTTCGTGATGTTATATAATAGATATATTGCATAGTTTTAAAAATGCAAACAAAATTGGATTGTCTACAAGTAGTGAACGATAGAGGTCATGGCCTGAAACGTCAATACTTCAATACAATAAACTTTAATACAATAAAAAACAAATCAGCATTGTATTTTACGCAGTGAACTAGCATCGTATTTGACATCGAAAGAATGCGATCATCTAATGCACATGTTCACTTGTTGGTTTTGTCCAATAACGATGACTACAACTGCACACAAGTATTGTACGTGTCGTTTATGACAAATCACAATCAAATCCAGTCAAAACTGTGTTTATACATTTCAACTTGTTTGTCTAACTGTAGATGCATCGTCCGAATCGCACGGTCCCGTGTCTTCGACCTATATGCCTTTCCACGATACCGTGCGGGATCGCATAGGCTAATTGCGTATCGTAAACAGTAAGATCTAATTGGACGCGCCTCGAAACAAGGCGCCCAATCAGCTTGGACGTACCAAATTATAAAACAGAAGACATCCTTCTCGCACAAAACTGAGTCGATTGCCTGTATCTGATGAGTCTTGAGGGCACCAACACCGAAATCTTTCGCAATTTTATCACAAATATCACGATTCATGGGGCCGCCATTTTGTTAAAAATGAAACTCCAAAGAGGAATTTATAACACGCAAACTAATTGGACAATGATTAGCCGCAACTGACTACTGTGGGCGCTGTTAGAATACGCATATTTGATGGTCGTTATGGCAATGGTCTGTTTAGAGGCTTTGCCTAATAAACTTAGACCTTGGCTAGCGAAGATGCAAAAAAGAAACTGTTGGGAAAAATCGGGTAATTATGCACGCACAAACGTAATGCACGATTTAAAAATAAATATCGCATCCATACTAATTACAAATTTACAATCAACACACGATTATTTATCTGTAGTTTTCGTATCTACTCGCATATCGTTATTACCCTAGTTTTGTGCCAAACTACACATGTACATTCATAAGTAATACGACCCGTAATGAGATATACAAACTTGTTATCAATAGAAATATTATGAAATGAAATTCATAATGACCCGAAATTCATCCTATGATTTATACATTTTGTTATGCATTTGTAGAAATGGACATAACATTTACAATATTTAGTTTTCATGGTATTGACACGGTTATAGACGTTACTGCTGATGGATTGTTAGGGGAGGGGCTTGCATGAATGCTAATTTTAGCCAATCACTAATTTTCTATTAATCACTATATTATAAAAGTCACTGGTAAGTAATCATCTGGGTAATATATGTGGGTCTCCTACCATTATAGTATTTGTTCTACCTGGCTGAAACAAATATTGTTAGTGAAGCAGACACTGCATACATAGAAGCAACTATTGAAAATGAGAGTGGAACTCGAACCCACAACATCAACCACAGCAGAAAGAGTACAAAACTATTGAAGATTGTAGATTCTCGGTAAAGAAATTTCAATGGTAATTTCATTGTCACGTGGTTTATATTATTATTCATGAGCAAATGACAAAACGCACAGTACGTCTTTTGTATTTATGCGCAGCACGGGGCAATACTTGCATAATTGTATACTTTTTTTGTGGTACAATTCCGTATTGAACAGTCTTGCAAATGTATGGCCTCTTGTAGTTTCCTCGTGGTGTTTCTTATATTTAGCATTGATAAATGTGAATCTAGTAAGCAACCCTTACAGGGCGGCAGTCGTCGTGCCGCGTCCTGTTTGATATGGGACTCGCAACGACGTATACAGCGCGTGTAAAATGCATTGTTTATTTACCGCTGCGCGACGACCACCGCGCTTTAAATGCCAACGTTCACGTTCGGGGAAGTTTGATTTACACAATCCCGAATACAGTATATATACAACGACGACAAATTAAATATAAACTGAGAATATAGTTGAAACAACCCTAACGTGTGTATGTTCACTGATGTAAATACAAGCTAAGATTATTATTAAAGGGGGGTCGTCACCTGCGCATACGTCAGGTAGCCATAGCGTGTCATTGTTTGCAAACAAGCGTCTACTTACTCACGCCTTGAATATAATCCATTAATCAGTGGTACTGGCAATCCCATTATACGTCCGTACTCCCATACGATTTGATAAAGTGTAGCACTCGGCAATATCGAAATCGATGTTTGGTTAACATCGTTAAATCCACACTGTTTAAAATACTAAATATTGATTCAGTATCACAGTATATAGTTGTAATCAAATACTCGATTTGGTGGTTATTTTTAAAGTTATTCAAACAGCCCATCTGACAATATTCCTGTTTTCCTATAGGGCATTACAATGGGGCGTAGCATACAGAATAAAAGACGAGAATAAAGAAAATATACTGAAAAAGCTATATATACGAGTGAAGAATTACCACCATTTCCTTTGATATTCTATCCCCATTTAGAAAACGCCTCCTCCATAGATGTGTTGGCATACATTGTTTTAAATGAAACCACCGAACACATGCACACTGATTTCATAAGACCAGAGAAAAAGGAAACTACAGCTGAATCTATTGCAACTGCTATTGGGACGAACGGACTACGAAATGATGACTACCTTTTCCAACTGGCAGATTTCCTAAGAGAAGTTCCTTCTGGGATGATCCGTACATCTTTGAACTGGAAAAGTTGGTCAAAAAGTATTAATCCAATAAGTTTTAAAAATATTTATATATTATTCGGAATGAGGTTGATATTGTTGGTCTTGTCTTCAAAGTTGCCCTGTATGGGATATAGTCATTCACTAAAATTTGTGAAACTAAAATATAAGATACGTTATCGCACTTGTATATCGCTATTAGCATGTGATACAAAATGGTCTCAGTTTATGACGTGGTTTGCTCGCATACCTTGGTAATTTGAAGCACCGTTTACAATTTTGCATTTGATTTACTATTATCAATGGCAAGAAAAAAAACATACTTATATAATGGTACGTGGCCATGGGAATTAAAAATGAATTTCGTTTAAACGCTTATGTATATGACTTGTGGGATCGGGGCTGTTAAATAAAATATAATAT